TTTACATTGATGAATTGATGATCATTGCATTTTACAATTGATGATCATTGTATTTTACAATTGGTGATCATTGCATTTTACAATTGATGATCATTGCATTTTACAATTGGTGATCATTGTATTTTACAATTGGTGATCATTGTATTTTACAATTGATGATCATTGTATTTTACAATTGGTGATCATTGCATTTTACAATTGATGATCATTGCATTTTACAATTGGTGATCATTGTATTTTACAATTGGTGATCATTGTATTTTACAATTGGTGATCATTGCATTTCACAATTGGTGATCCTTGTATTTTACAATTGATGATCATTGCATTTCACAATTGATGATCATTGCATTTCACAATTGGTGATCATTGTATTTTACAATTGATGATCATTGCATTTCACAATTGGTGATCATTGTATTTTACAATTGGTGATCATTGCATTTTACAATTGATGATCATTGCATTTTACAATTGGTGATCATTGTATTTTATAATTGGTGATCATTGCATTTTACAATTGGTGATCATTGTATTTTACAATTGGTGATCATTAAAAGTAATATGATAATCCTAGTATTTTATTATAGGTGATCTTATTGTATTGTAGTATTGGTGATCTTCGCATTATTGTATTTTATTATAGGTGATCTTATTGTATTGTAGTATTGGTGATCTTCAGATTATTGTATTTTATTATTGGTGATCTTATTGTATTGTAGTATTGGTGATCTTCAGATTATTATATTTTATTATAGGTGATCTTATTGTGTTGTAGTATTGGTGATCTTTGGATTATTGTATTTTATTACTGGTGATCTTCTAGTATTTTTTACAATTGGAGTTCACTCTGGGTGATCATTGTATTTTACAATTGTATTCACTGTATCTTACATTTTGTGATACAAAAATTTACATTTTGTGATCATTGTATTTTGCAGGTGATTATTAATACAGAATGGGGAGCATTTGGTGATAATGGTTGTTTAGACTTCATACGTACAGAATATGATTTAGAATTAGATACATACAGTATTAATCCTGGTAAACAAATGTAAGTAACGTTTTTCTCATTTGTATTTTTTTTTATTGAATAACAGAAAGATAACAAACATATGTATTATTAGAAGCTTAAAATAAGCTCTAATGGAATTGTGAAAAATAAAAAATTAAATGCTAGATTTTGCATCTTAATTATAATATTTCTATCTAAAAAAAACCAACAGCTTTTTAGTTCGATAGAATAAAAAAAAGAATAACTTTCCGTAACTTTTGATCTTTAGACTCCGGAGAGAGAGCTATAGAATTGGCCTTGCCCTGTTATGCCTTGATTAGAAATTCGTATTTTGATGCAAATTTTATATTTATTCTCACAAAAAAAAATTGGCGCAAAAATTGATAACAGAAGTGTATTATATTTTAGATTAGAAAAGATGATATCTGGTATGTATATGGGTGAGATAGTAAGATTAGTATTAGAAAGATTGACATATGAAGGATTGTTGTTACAAGGAGCAGATCGGGAATGTGCTTTATATGAACGAGGAAGATTTTACACTAAATATGTTTCTGAAATAGAAAGGTGAGTAATTATCTAGTCCTTTATATGGGACATAAAACTGAGGCCTGTGTGCTACAGACTGTGCTCGGTTAAGATCTGTTGCCATTGGGAAATCGAAACAGAGTAGGCCAATGCTGCTGCCATTGCACACTGCATGGCATTGCCCATCTTTATTAGCCCAATTAGGTGCAGAAGAGTAGAGCATAAAACTCCATTAATTTCATTTTTTGAATTGATCTGATTTGAACTTTGATTGTTAACTAACCTCATGCATTGATTTTACCTTTTCAGTGATCATGATGAATTTTTTGCCAATACCAAACAAGTGTTAGAAGAATTAGGTGTAGAAAATTC